GTGTGTGAGGCACTGGGAATCTTCTCTATATATAAAAGCCTAAGTGACTGGTTGACTGGTAGCTATGACGTGCACTGATCACCAGGGGGCAGATGCTCAATTCAGGAGCTGCCCCCTGGTGGTCAGTGTGCTCCCACAGCGGAAAGGCCACTCAACTGACCAACGGGCACCAGCCTCCGGCCTCATGGCTGGCGATAGCTGCGGGGGTTGAGAGCCTCTCCCGTGGACATTCCCCCTATGCGCCCCTCTCCCATCTGGACCCGGACCTGGATGGGGATGGGGACTGGCATCTGGACTGAGTGCAAGCAGTCAGCTGCTTCTAGGTCATGGGCGCGCCAGTATCGCCGCTCAGACACCCAGCGGAGCCCAGTGAGCCTACCAAGTGGTGGCGGTGGCGTCAGCAGGCACAACAGGCTCAGGATGAGCAGGAGTGGAGTCGCACTGGCCCAGGCTCCGGCCCAGGCTCCGGCTCCTCCCCGGGGATGTAGGCCTGCAGGTTTCGGCCAATCCCCAAAGGCCAGGCCTCTAGTAAAACTAGAAACAAAGTAGAGCTTCTGCCCTCTTACAGCTTAAGTTCTAGTGGATAGAGAAAGAAAATAAAGTTTTTCAGATGGTGATAAATGCTATAGAGAACAGGAAAGCAGAGAAGGATAATAGATAAGGAATAGATTTGTGTGTAAGATTATTTAAACAGGGTCCCTGGAGAAGACCGCACTACTAAAGATTAGATACTTTTTGTTCCTTCTTCCATTATTGCCTTCTTTGATGTTAAATAGATAGGTTCAGTATATCATTTTAACTTGTTTTTCTTTCACTGCAATTTTTTTAGTTGTTTTCTTTATGGTTGTCCTGAGGATTATAGTTAACATTTTCTCTAGTTTAGATTAATAGCACTTTAATTACAATAGTATACAAAAACTGTTTCTATAAAGCTTCATTTCCTTTTCCATCCTTTGTGTTATCCTGCAAATTGCATCTTTATTGTACACTCATTAACACATATTTCAATTACTGCTTAATGTTGTCTTTTAAATCAGATAGGAGAAAAAGTTAAAAACAAATATATTTATACTGTCTGTGTGCTGATTGTTTTTTCTGTGTGCATATCTACTGTTGCCCCTCTATTGAATTTTTCATTTTAGTTAGTACATTTCTCAAATTCTTTTTAAAAAATATATTTTATTGATTTTTTACAGAGAGAAAGGGAGAGAGATAGAGAGTCAGAAACATCGATGAGAGAGAGACATCGATCAGCTGCCTCCTGCACACTCCCCACCGGGGATGTGCGCGCAACCCAGGTACATGCCCTTGACCGGAATCGAACCTGGGACCCTTCAGTCCGCAGGCCAACGCTCTGTTCACTGAGCCAAACGGGTTTCGGCTGAAATTCTATAATTTCTTTTTGATCCTTTTAAAAAATAATTTTTGTCTCTATTGATATTCTCACTTTGGTGAGAGACATCATTCTCATACTCTTCTTTAGTTCTTTAAACATAGTTTCATTTAGTTGTTTTTATATATTTAAAATAGTTGACTTAAAAGTCTTAATCTAGTAAATTCAGTGTTGGCCTTCCTCAGGGACAGTTTATATTGACTCCTCTTTCCCCCTCTCGCATATTTTGTTTTCATGCTTCATAATTTTTTGTTGAAAACTAGATATTTTAAATAATGTAGCAACTGTAGAAATTGAATTCTCCCTTCTCCTCAGGATTGTTTGTTGTTGCTATTTGTTATTATTGTTTATTTAGTGAGTTTTTGGAATTAATACCATAAAATAGGTAGTTTTTGTTGTTCTATGTGGTTACTGAAGTTTCCGTTCAGTTAGCTTACTGGTTAAGCTAATGAGTAGGTAGACATTTCCTTGGATACCCGGAACATGTAAGCTTTTCAGCGTGTGGGTCTCCATATGTGTGTTGGGACATGCCTTCAAGACACAGCCATTTAGCAACTCTGTCATAGCTCTCTTTTCCTACTTGTTCTGAGCGTAAAGGTTAGCCAGAAGTAAGAGTTTAGGGCAGCCGTGGGCAAACTATGGCCCGCGGGCCGGATCCGGCCTGTTTGAAATGAATAAAACTAAAAAAAAAAAAGAC